AGACTCGTCGTTCTCAGTATCATATCACTGTTTTAACCACACCATCTTCTGCTCCTCAGTCAGTGCCATCTCAGTTAGCACTAGATCGCCCTGCCTCATTTTTCCAACAAAATGGACGCAACAATATCGATCAGTCTCACTCCAGTGGATGCAACAAAAATAATTGATCTAACTCTCAGCAATCAAACAACAAAAAGGATCGTTCAGGTCTTTACTATATTTTCTGTCAGCTTTCGGGGCATAACATTGAATTTTTTCATACTCGTGCTTGACTCTTCACTGCAGCTATGGCTAACACAAAATATCTGTCACCACTAGTCAATAACTCTTCAGCGAATCTACATCTGCCTCATCTGTTTTCTCTGCAACTGAGCAGTTCTCAACCAGGTTTTATCTCGCTATCTAAGTGCATCTTCTACTGCTCTTTCTACTACACCAGGTAAACATGGTTCTTGGTATTTTAACTTTGCTTGCTACAATCACATGACACCTGATCTTACCTTACTCACATCCCAGACTCCTACTTCTCATTTTCTTATCATACACACAGCCAATGGTTCCACTATGGTTGTTAGTCACATAGGAACTATTTCTCAATCTCAGTAATCTGTGCCCCATGTTTATCTTGTTCCAAATCTTTCTCTTAATCTTTTATCTGCTGGAAAATTAACTGAGTTGGGTTTGACTATAACATTTTCTTGTAATGGTTGTGTTATACGGGATCATCGGATAGGATAGATCATTGGGACAGGCCGTAAGATAGGACGATTATTTAAACTTTCTTCATTACATCTGCCTTACTACCACTATTTTTGCTGCCTCTACACGATCCACCTTTCTTACTCTTGAGTTATAGCATTCTTGTTTGGGTCATGTATCATTATCTCGTGTCAAAACCCTTGTATCTACGGGTTTATTAGGTCAGGTTAAATTTAAGTCTTTTGATTGTATTTCATGTCAATTAGGAAAAATAGCCTGTTTACCATTTAATAAAAATGAGTCTTTTGCTTCTGCTCCATTTGATATTATTCATTCTAATGTTTGGGGACCTTCGACTATATCTACTATGGGAGGATCACAATATTTTGTTATTTTTGTTGATGATTTTTCACGATTCACATGGATTTTTTTTAATAAAAAATCGTTCTGAATTACTTAAAATATTTCGTGATTTTACTCAAATGATTGCTACTCAGTTTTCCAAACCAATCAAAATATTTCGGTCTGATAATGCTCAAGAGTACTGACAACATGAATTTAAAAAAATTCTTCAAAATTACAGTACAATTTTTCACACTTCTTTTACTGGCACATCTCAATAAAATGGTCAAGCTGAACGTAAACTTTGACATATTTTAGATTTAACTCGTTCACTCACTCTTTTTGCTTTTGTGCCTTCATCTTTTTGCGGTGAAGCATCTCTTACTGCTGTTTATACCATGAATCGTGTTCCTAGACCACTTTTACAAAATCAAACACCCTATGAACGTCTCTATGGAAAAATTCCCTTCTACATTCATCTTAGAGTCTTTAAGTGTGCTTGTTTTTTTCTTCTTCAACCTCATGAGCGAAATAAGTTACAACCACATTCTCGACTTTGTTATTTTCTTGGCTATGGAATTGAACAAAAGGGGTATAGATGTTATGATCCTATTGATTAACGCCTCAGAATTTCTCGTCATGTCATTTTCTGGGAGTATAAACTGTTTCATACATTATCTAAGTTTAGTGGTGTTCATGATCAGACTTTTCTTCTTCCTCCATTTGACACCTCTGCAGATCTCTTTCATTTTGCTAGATAATCATCTAATATAGTCACCTTTGCTAGCTGAGTCCCATTCATCTGCTTCGTCTAAGATTCCTGACAGTGCACCCACCACACATCTTCGCCCTCATTCAACTCGGGTAAGAAATCCACCTGCATATCTTAGTGATTTTCATTGTTATCGTGCTCTTACTACCTTATATGAACCTCAAACTTTTCATGAGGCATTCTCTGACCCCATATGGCAGCACACAATGCAAGAAGAGTTGGATGCACTATCCAAAACTCATACATAGGATCTGATTGATCTGCCTCCTAGAAAGTCTGTTGTAAGATGCAAATGGGTTTACAAGACCAAGACTCGTTCAGATAGGTCTGTTGAGAGATACAAAGCTTGAATTGTTGCTAAATGGTTCACACAGGAATATGGTATTGATTTTGAGGAGATATTTGCTCATGTTGCACGTCTTTCCTCTGTTCGAACTTTTATTGTTGTGGTAGCTTCGTGGCATTGGGGACTTTTTCAGATGGATGTTAATAATGCTTTTCTCAATGGTGATTTACTCGAGGAAGTATACATTCAGCCTCCTCTAGGTTTTCCTTATCCTTCTAATAAGGTATGCAGACTTAGACGTGCCTTGTATGGTCTTAAACAAGCACCACGAGCTTATATTTAACATATACAATATGTATACACACACTGTATTTGAGCAAAAAAAAAATAGTCCATTTTCCTAAATTGATATATTAAATAATTGGACTTGAAACAAATAATTTAGAGAAAATTAGATTTTGGTAGCCAAACCTGAATAAAATTGAAGTAAAAAAAAAAAATACAACATTAACTAAATTTAAAACTTAAATGCTAATAACTTAATAAGTAATAAGTGACCTTTTAAGGATATTTTTGTCATATAACTAAGATTCGCACTTAATAATAATTAAATAAGGACAATACTTGCATACTCACCAGTGAGTAGGAAGTTCATAGTTATCTATGATGTGGTGCAAAAGTAATGTGACAAGTGTTCATAAAATAGAAAATAATAAAAATTAAAAAAATTGAATGCTTACAGGTCAACCTAAAAAGATGTAAATCAAGTCCTAATTTAACTCTATCCCCCTATTTCTCTTTCTCAAACTATTCTGCTAATATTGGAAGTTTTGACTTTTATCTTTCATGGTTTAGTGTGTAATCCTTACATATACTTATCAATTATTTTATCTAAAGTACACCCAATTATATAAAATTGGATTCACATAAATTATATAAAATTCGATTCACATGGTTTGATAGATGATTTGTTGATTGTACAATAGATTGTAATTGCTTATTTCTTATCTTCTTTTTCTTTTGGTGGAAAATAAATATCTATATCATTACATTTATAGTTCTTCTTTCTATTCACCATCCACAACGACAATACTTGCCTACTCACCTTAAAGCATAAAAGAAAAAAGTATATGTAAAGATTACATATGAAAGATAAAAATCAAAACTTCTGGTATTAACAAATTATAATTTTAGCAGAATAGTTTGAGAGAGAGAAAGAGAAGGATAGAGTTAAATTAAGATTTGATTTGCATCCTTTTAGGCTGACACGTAAACATTCAATTTTTTTAATTTTTATTATTTTCTATTTTATGCACACTTGTCACATTACTTTTGCACCAGATCATAGGTAAGCATGAACTTTCTACTCACCGGTGAATAAGGAAGTATTGTCCATGTTAACTGTCGCAAGTTCTTTATTTTTTGAAGTACAAAAAATCAGCACACACCCATTTTCGTGTTGCTTGTATTTACCTGTTCTAGACATAAAAAAAGGAACAATGCTTGCCTTAGGCACCTCCTTCTTATGATGAGGTGTTTAAGTTTTAAAAGAAAAAAAAAATTATGACTACAAACAATAGAAACTGATCCTTACCTCTTTATCTCTGATATATATTATTTATGCGTTTTGATCTAATATATAAATATATATATATATAAAATCGGCATCTTTCAGTCATATATGAAAGTTGAGACAAATAATCACTATAAATTCATGAAAAATGATATATAGTATTTTTTTTTTCTAGGTTTTTTCGTTGATATAGAAATTAATTTTTTTTTTTTTCGCTTATATATAAATTTTAAAACTTTTTATGTTCATATTCCTTTTTTTTTCTTTTCTTTTCTTATCCCAATCTCTCCTAAATTACAAAACATTTCATGTTCATCTTATTTTCTTTTGTATCTAATTACAAACTTCCCATCCAAATTTAATTGTTTAGAGATGATTATCACCAAATAAAAACAATAAAAATAGATTTATTAGATTTTTCTATCGAAAAAGTTATTTAATTTGGTATAATGTGTCGTTCATACATTAAATATAACATGTAATTCTGTATTTGAGAATGAGAACATCATCATTAGTGATAGAGCCAATGTAGGCCTAGGGTCATTTCCATACCTAGCCCCACTCTTTTATAATATGTGGTGTGTGTGTGTGTGTGTATATATATATATATATATATATCTATATATATTCCGTTTGATTTTAGATTCAAAATACATAAGTAATATGTATTGTTGTGTGAGAGAGAAAGAGGGAAGGATTACTTTCTATTCCCCTCATCATAAAAAGGACCTTCTTATGCGGCCTAAAGTAAGCATTATTCAAAAAGCCCATATAAAAATGTCCCAAAATAAAATTATACTAACTAGTAAAAAATTATCACAAAAAATAAAATATACTACGTAAAAGTTTGAATAAATCACATAATTTACTTAAATAAATTATAATATAAATTTTTGATCGTATAAGCTTTCTTTTTGATTTTTTTTTTTTAAATTGTACAATCAAAGATTTTTTTTTTAAAAAAAAAAAAAACCCTCACAGGTGCTATAACGAGGTGTACCTCATTATAATTTTTTTTTTCCTCTTATTAATTCTTCTAAAAAATAAATAATTCATTTCTTGTTATTGGGCTTAATAATTAAGCTAGTTCTTTCCACAAATAAGAATCCACTTGATAAAATCACCAAATTTCTTTTGTGATCTTTGACATCTTCCTTTATTATTTTAGGAAAAAATATATTATATATATTATTGTATCATTTCATTTGAAAAAAAAATAATAATAATTGAAGATGAAATGAACACCATTACATGATTGGACCCACAGTTCAGTTCTATTATGTGGGCCCATTTCAGCTTATTCGTTCATTCCAGAGTCTAAGTCGGTGTTCGGTGAACGGGTTATTGCCCTGCCGGTGGAAAGAAAGAAAGGGTTATAACAGAAGTTTGACATTTTCCCTCTCTTTCGTTTTTTTCATCGAAAATTTCAGGAAAATCAGAGAAAATAGGATTCGCTTTTCTCAGAGAAAGAGATCCATCCCGACCCCTCATGACTTCAGCCACGCCCCCAAATTCTAAAAACTTCCGTCAATTTCACGGAAACAATCAATTTCTTTAGTTCCAGACGTCTGTTTTAATGCCAATTTCATATAACTATGGTTTCTTTACACACTCCCAACAATTGTTTTCACCAATTTCGGTCTATTAATCTAATTTCACCCTCTGGGTATCGATCGATTATCAATATTTTCCATGATTTGTACTGGGTTTTCAGATTTTTTAGAATTTCAATGTTAATTTTTGTAAATTATCCAGCTTACTCTGGAAAATTTTCATTGATTTCGGATACTATTTTACGTGATTTGGGCTATTTTTTCTCATGTTCTCCTTCTTTCTTGTAGATTATGCGTTGAAAATTGTTGCAGAGCTCGAGTCGGCTTCACGGTTGAGGACTGCACAGTTCTTAATTACACAGAGGCCATGGCTTGGTAATGCCCCAATGCAATGCCATTTTTATGTCACTTATTTGGTCTTAATCCAAGGTTCATTTTGGTTGTCCTTCTATTTTTCTGATTACATTTTTTGTGTATGTTAGGTTAATAGTACGTGAATTCATCTTCTAGAAAAGTACAATTCGTGATTATTCATGATTTTTTTGGGTTTTTATATCAGATCTCTATGGAGTTATTATCAGGCCTGTTGCTCCATTTGGGAGTGCAAGTAGTAAACCATTTGTTGATACAGCTCTACTACACCGGTCCTTGCCCGATGAGCTACTTTTTGAGGTATTTCTATTTTTTTAATCACATTTAACTTGGTCATTGTACTATTACAACGAGATAACAAACTTGGATAAGTTGCTACTTCTTGATTTCAATTTTCAATCTGTTCATCTTACATTATTGTATTATACATTATGATTTTTTATTTAAACTTAAAATGTAGGACAAGCTCAATATGACTGAGTTCTAAAATCCGACATATTCTCAGTAATTCTCTCCACTTCAGTTCTCTATGTAGTGAACAGTGAGTTGTATTCCCATTTACCAAGCAAACTGTATGATTTTTTTTAAGAGGAAAGGAGTTTTCATCCCATCTTTCCTTCTTATAAATATTAGGCACTGTGATCTGGCAATCGGAGTTGCCAACTGGTAGTAAAAACTAATATTTTCCCAGATATCTTTCTTTGAAATGGAATGGGAACTGGTATGAGCTTATTCTTAGACTCGGTAACACAGAAGAAGCCAAAGCGAGATCTCAACTGGCATGTGATTAGCTAGTCTTATATGCGATGTGTTTACCTTTGAACTACATAACAAGATACATGAAAATCATTTTTTAAATAATGTAGAAAAATATTTGCAACTATTAAAAAATAACTAACTTCCATTAATAAGTTTGATTTTTGAGAGGAGCGGGGAAGGTGGGGAAGAAGGAATCACTACAGTAATGTAAAACTTAGAACAAGAAATTTGATCAGGAGACGTACCTTTCTACTTTTTCAGCAAAGAAAACAAGTTAAGTTTGGACACATAATTGACGAAAATAGCACCTAGTTACGGAAGATATTGATGTTGGGGGTTGATCAAATTGCTGAGCTAGATTTTCAATATAAATTTCTCCCTGGGTTTCAAATTTTAGTGAATGTTCTTATGAAACAAAATTTGTTGTTCTAGTAATATTTTGTGCAAATAAACAAGCTTCCTCCTCTGTCGGTTCCATCATAATAATTTGTTCCCTATTCACATCATTAAGATTCTTCACAATGTCACGCTTTCATTGGATGATATAATCGTTTGATCTAAGGGTTCCATCTGCATATTAAGGAATCATGGACCTCTCACGGAGAAAGTGATTGGTTAGTAACAAAACAGATGTTCTGGATAGAGCTATAGGGCCAAAAAGATTCCAAATGGTTGCACTTTGAGGTTTTGTTGACTTGAGTTTGCAGGTCTTCTACATTAAGGATGTAATCCTCTTTGCTTGATTGAATGTAGAAAATGATCTTTTTGAAATTCATTTTCAAAGTATAGAAAAGAAAAAAAAAAAAAAAAATCTTGAGGTTAAGAAAGACTATCTTTTGTGTTTAGTTACCATAAAAATTTCTTTTGCAATTACAAGTTCATATATATTAGCACTTGTGATAAAAGAAAATACTGAAATAAATGGCTAGTAAATGTCAATAGCCTTTGACTACCTTTCCCATCTCTCATCACTAAAAAGTACCGCTCTGGTGGTCTGATTAAACCCAACACCTGGCCCTTGCAAGAGCATTTTGAAAACCTTATGTTCAGTCCTCATGAGGTTGAATTTGTTCCTAAGTTGGTTCATATCCAAATCATATCCAGTTCTTTTAATAATTTCTGCTTCTAAGTCATTCCACCCTTTCGTTGAGAAGGTTAATGTATTCCGATTTCCATTTCTAACTTCATCCTCCATTAAGAGAATGAATGTTTCCTCAAACTGGTCATCCCATAGTTGTTTTCCATCCTTGACTATCTTAGTAGGTTCCTCCTAAACTTAGATGTTAGAGCGTTGAGTTGTGAGAGATTTTCGAATTTGGATCCATCTAAGCGTTGTTGTAGTAATTATAATTTGCATATAGATGGATCCAAGAAAGAGAAGATTAATCATTTAGAATTCAATGTACAATAGCATAATCAACCTAGAATGTTAAGGCATCTCGTTTTTTTTTTTATTTTATTTTATTTTTTTTATAAGTTTAAGGCATCTCTAGGGCTGCAAACGAGCCGAGCTGTTCGCGAATGACTTGGGCTCGGCTTGTGAATTACTCGGCTCGAGATCGTTTACTTAATAAGTGAACCGAGCTTGAGCCGAATTATGAGACTCGATTTATAAACGAGCCGAGTCTGAACATCAATAGACTCGACTCGTTTGTTCATGAACCGCTCATGAACTGGGCTCGATAATGCGTTCACGAATATTCTCAATTATAATATATATATATATATATATATATAGATATACCCAATTATAATATATACAAAAGTATTCAACTTTTTCTATATATGCAACTTTTTCTATATATTCATAATATATATATATATATATATATATATATATATATATATGTACACACATACCCAATTATAATATATATATATATACACAAAAGTATTCAACTTTTTATAACTTATGTCCATGTGATTCAAAGTCTTTTTCACATCAATCAATAAATTTATATACAAAAATATTCAATTTTTTTGAAATCTGCCACCATGCCGTCCTAGACTTCCTAGTCTATATTCAACTTTTCAAACCTAACTTTTCTATCTTCTTACTTTCATTCTTGCCTGTTTGTTTGCAGCAGCACTCCTCACCCACTTCAGTGGCCACCAATGGACCATTTTTCCGATCACATTTCTCTCTCTCCCAAAAACTCTTTGTTTTCTTCAATTAATCATCTTTCATTCAAACTGATTTTTAGTATAAATTTTGGGGTTTACTATTGATCTGTGCATCTCTCAACCTCTTCCATCAAAATCAACTCTAGTAAGTTTAATTTTTGACCAATTTTATCAATTTCGTTCTCTTTTTCTCTCAAACTTTTCTCTTTTTGTTGCTGCAAATCTATTTCTCTCAGTTTTTTTTAATTTTTTGTTCCAGATCAGTTGGATACTTAGATGCGAAGTGCCACCACCAAAAAAAAAAAATTAAATGAGCTATCGAGCTCGGCTCGAGGCTCGTCAAACATAGCCGAGCCTAGCTCGAACTAAATTTTGTAGGCTTGACATGAGCTCAAGCAGCCTATTACCTGACCGAGCCAAGCTCGAGCACACCATTACTCGGCTCAGCTCATTTACAGCCCGAGGCATCTTATATTCTTTTGGTCAACATATATAATGAAGGAAAAAGAATGTAAAAAAGTTACTGCATTACATTCAATATGCTCAAACGTTTTTATTCAACAAATCAACCTTAAAACATATTGATATAAAACAGAAACTGAGTAGCTTCCCAAGCCCAAACATGAAATGCACTGATTTCATAACAACCCATCACTCCAAATGTTCCAGCTCCAAGTCTGAATAAAAGAATAGAGTGAAAAAAAAATCAAAATAGCACTAAAATTCACCACTGGCTCATAAATTAAGATAAGGCCCTACTGGTGGTAAAAAAATATCTTGGATCTAACACCAAGTAGTTTGGGTAAAAGCTTTGTTGAATTAATATGAGCTGAGTCCCACTTATAGTTAAGAAGATCTGAAGATTACAGTTCTTTGCCACTTTTGGTTTCCTTTTTCTTCTATATTAGGATATCCCTAGTTTGACTCCTTAATAGAAATTTAAGTTGGCGACATTGAAATGTGCAGATCACTCCATTAACTACACAAATTTCCTCTGCTTTATGCAATAAAAAGTTTTCAATTTCAAGACCTACATAAAATCCAAACAGAAAACACACACAAAAAAATTAAACCCTCAGTTGCCATTTGCTTCAAGATTAGATTTTGCCTAGTTAAACTCCAAAACTAGCTAAACTGATAAACAGAAAATTACGTTCAATTTTTAAAAACATCAACAATCATTAATGAAATGAGCTTAAGAAGAAGAACTAATTGTAGATCTAGTTAAAAGAAGAAAAAAAAAAAGAAAAAAGAAAAAAGAAAAAAGGAAAAGAAGAAGAAGAAGAAGAAAAAGAAGAACTAACTGCAAGATGAACAGAGGGGAAGAAACCAGAGAGAGAATAGAAGAGTCAGCAACAGAGGAACAATTCAGTGAAGAAGAAAAACATGTAGATCTATAAAGATCTACAACTCAGTGAAGAATAGAAAGTGTGAGAAACGAGAAAGTGAGAGACCACAAACCCAGAGAGTTTCGCACTGGGGGAAAGTGAGAATGGTGTCTTCTCGCTGGTGGAGGAGCTTGTGGTGGACGGTGGAGGAGATCGCTCGTTGGTGGAGAGAGACTGAAAAAATGGACAATGGTTATTAGGGTTTATGAAGGAAATTGTGGTGTTGTTTGGCACAAAAGAACAAAAGGGTTGCTACAGTATATCTTAGTTGCCAAGACAATGCAAGAACTCAGGCATCCGCTACAGTTATTCACTAAACATAAAGTTATAAACACCCTTTTGGTATTCAATAAAAAAATGCCTTTGGCTACAATGTTTGTTTACAAACAAAACAAATATTAACAAACGTGGTCCTCTAGATCTATTTAAATAAACAATAAACACTAAACATAAACGGTTAACAAACGGGACCTAAGTAATTTTTCGTTACGTGCAGATCTTCGTGAGAATGACTCCATATACCATGGGAAGGGCAGCTTGTGTTTGTCGGAAATGGAGATATACAATTTGTAATCCTGTGTTTTGGCGCAATGCATGCCTAAAGGCTTGGCATGTAGATTTAGCATTTCTATTAATATTTTTTTTCATCATATTTGCATGAAAGTTAGTTACTTATCAAAAAAAATATATTAGCATGAAAGTTAGTCATTCCTAAATTTTTTGACACTTTTTTTCTTTTTATTTTTTGGTGAAGCTCTCTGGGGTTGTGGAAAATTATAAAATCTTGCAGTCAAAATATATGGTTCATGGAGGAAAATGTGGCTTTCAAGACCGAGGGTCCACACTGATGGTAAGACATACCTTTATTCGAAATCTCTAGTTTGTGTCAAACATATTTGTGCTTTGTTTACATGTAACTTACTAATGTGATTTTTTTTTCTTCTTCTTCCCCCAATTCCATGTTGCTTTGATTATCTTCCCTTGAAAACTTCTTTTCCTAAGTGTCACATTTACCCCAAAAATGAATATATATATGTTCAGATTCATGAGAGATAGGGGGAGAGAGAGAGAGAGAGATTGAGAGAAAAATGTATCCTCTGTATTGTCTATCTGCAGCCCTCTAAATAAGGCTTATATAAGAAAAGGGTTAGAGACCCTAATTACATAATTACACAATAACCCTAACTACTATGGGTAATTACATAATGACCCAACACTATAAAGAATATACATTCTAACACTCCCCCTCAAGCTGGAGAATATATATAAAATAATCCCAGCTTGGAATAGATAGTCCTTAACCGATTATGACCCAGTACTTTGGTAAACATATCAGTTAGTTGATCTTCAAAATTCACAAATGGAGTAGAGATGCTACCACTTAATATTTTTACTTTTCCATGTAACAAGATTTCCTCCTACAAATGTACAGTAGCCTGTAGTAGATCTCCTAACTGAAGGAGAACCAACCCAGTCAGCATCTGTAAAACCTTCCACCCTGAGATGACCATTTGAATGGTATAGTAACCCAAAACCTGGAGCTCGCTTGAGATATTGGATAATCTGAAGAACAGCAATCCAATGTGGCATTCTAGGAGCTCCCATAAACTGACTTACAACGCTAACTGCATAGGGGAACAACAGCAAGGGCTAACAATCGCATGGATCTACTTTCACTTGTTACAAGTGGTGTGAATGATAGTGAGGTTAATAGCCCTGATGAGGACATTCTTGGTGTTGTTGAAGGCTGGCAGGAGGATGAGACACACAACCCAGACGTGCCAGCTGTTTCACATAGGAGGGTTCTGACACCTTATGTTTTTGTACCATTTGAAGAGGTACATTTTTTGTCTTCTCTTGATTTTGGCTTCAAATTGGCAAATAGTGAAAACATTCTTCATGTTTTCTCAAAGAAGTTATGAATTGTGCTCTACATGGTAGTTAATCGTTTATTTTTTGAATAGTTGAATTCAATGTGGATGTGATGAACCTAAAATAGGTCATTATCCATTTTTAATCCCATTTATGCTGGGTGTTGGGAGGGGTGGATTCTCCACACGCAACCTTTGTATTCTTTTTGTACACAAAATGGCTGCTTTCAAACTAAAATTTATTTTCTCATGTTTGGCAACCCTAGCTTTTACACCAAGCAATTGTGTGAACCTAAAATATTTGATGAACATTGCCCCATTAATTAAGCGTTAACACATAAATCATCAATTCTGTCATACACTCTTTTCTTACAATTTTGCCCAAGTTATTTTTGTTCTTCATATTTCCAGAGCAGTGTTGCCAAATGGAACCATGTGACTCTTCCTGATTTGTGCAATCATTGCACGTAGCAAAACTATCTCAATCAAAATTTTCTCATTTTATGTCTTACTTCTTTCCACGAATGTTTACATTTTATTTTATTTTATCATATCTTCTCTCACTACACATCTATTTATATATCCATATCTCCAACCTGCTCATTTTTACAAACATCTGTTTCTTGATCTCCTAGCTTTCTCTTCCATGTTTGACTAATCTAGTTACTAATTTTTTTTTTTTTTTTTTTACATAAAATTTGTCTTTCAACTTTTTATTTACACGTCAATCGCACATTATGCCCTAAGAAATCGTCCACTTAGCCCATCGTGCTTTAGTTCTATCCTTAACATCATCTTTAGCTCTCCTTTCCTAGGAATAATCAATCCTTAGTGACAAAACACATCTTCTACTTCTCTAGAGTTTCGATCTTCACAGTGTCCCAATGTGATTCATATATTTAGTAAAATCCTATTGATTATAAGTACTCTTATTATAGAGCTTCTCTGAATCTCTAATATAGTATTTTTGTTAGGTTAATTTGATCACTTAAAAAACATCATTAGCAAATACCAAATAGTATAACCCCAAGGGGTTGGCTCAAGTGAGTAAGTCACTTGGTCCTGATGCCTTAAGAAGAATTAGGTCTAAGGTCCGACTACTATTGGGTGCAAACGATTCCTTGGAGGGGGAGAGTGTGAGTACCAACTAGGGACAAAAAAAAAAAATTGTACAGAACTTCATCCTAAATGTATCTAGTCAATTCATCCATAACTAAGTAGTCAATTTGCTGAATCGTGTATTTATCGAAATATGTAGAATGACTACCTAGGTTTCTCATTTTCTAGCAATGGTAACTTTCTGCTATCTGAGGTCTAACTTTAGTGAGATATTTATTTATTTATTTATTTTTATTTTTATTTTTTTATTATTTTTTTTTTTGGTGACGATGGTGGTGTCGGGCTTTCTTAGAACAACCATAATACATGCAATCCCCCCGTCTCACATGCACTTGGCAAAAACCAGGAAATTTCCCTTTGGTGGCCACAACGGGATTTGAATTCCCAACCTCTAAAATGTGAGGTGAAAGTTTTTGTCATTAGGCTATCCCCTCGGGGTTAAATTTAGTGAGAGGTAACACAAGCCTTCTAGCATTCATGGAAGAGAAAAGGAATTCCCCTTTTTTTTTTTTCAAGAAATTTTGAATCCTCACTAGGTTCTTTGTGGGTCCTGGTCACAACTCAGTGTTGCTTATGTGAGTCAATATCTTCTCTAACATACAAAGAGATAATATATATGTCTATATATCTCTAACAATAAACTCAAAAGTTTACTTATCAAAAAAGAAAGAAAAACTCAAAGTTTCCATAATAATTTTATGAAAAAATAGTAACTGAAAAATGAATTATGTTAATGTTCTTTTATGAATGAATGAAACATAGTAAATGTATATTTTATTACATATGGTGTGGTAAAAAACGTACTAGACACAATGAAGATTTTAATAAAATTTGAATCTTAAGTATTTAGCATCAATTTGAAGTGTGAATTACACTTGTTTAATGGTAAACATGTTATTCCTTTTCAACGGAAGCTATGTTACTTGTTATTTCAAGATGGGTGACATACATGGCTGAAGTACATTTTGGACATCAGGACATGACAAGATCATAGTTGTTGAAGGCGTGCTTGTGCTCAAATATATGCACTAATTCATTAAGGCATATCCGAAGTACTTTATCTTATGCTAGTCAATACCCTTCCAGCCAGGTGCATGTGAAACACTCAAATGTGTGCTTTTTAGTTAGTTTTAGGCTCAGGAAAAGGGCGTCTACTTTTCACTAAATTTCACTTAATTTTTTACGCATTTAATCATCCTGGATTATGTGGAGAAAAGGTTGGAGAGGAAACAAGTATCACCTAGTTGGTGGAAGAAGGTTTGATCTTTATTTTAAGGGTGGGGCCCTTGATACCAGAAGCTCAGGCTATCTAACCAACCTTTGATTGGAATATGGCTGTGGAGGTTTGAGATAGGAAAGCTTTGTGGTGTGGAGTGGTGGATCAAAAGTATTGTAGCTCTTCGTGTGGGTGGGTGTCGAGGAAAGTATATATGTAAGAAGTCCCATGTGGTGGGTTAGGGATAATTCTTTACCCTTGTTACTTTCTAATTGGTATGAGCAATTATGTGGTGAAATGGAGATCGGACTAACAAGAATGAGGATGCTTGTCAAGTATGAGAGTAGCCACTTGGTGCAAAGTAATGCCAAAGTAGCCATGTCTCTTTTTAGACCAGACTACCACTGTGTGATGGTCCTTTTTACTAAGAATTAGTCAATCCACTGGACCATGTAGAGGTTTCTATAGCCATCCTGATTTAGGTCACTCATGTATTAATGTTTCAATGTTTTTTGTGGAAAGTTTTCTCAGTCCATTGGCACTTCAGTGGGGTTAGGGCTTTATTTCCTGGTAGAGCACCTTTAAAACTCCCTGGTGGAATTTGTCTTCCATTTGATCTCATGTTCTTATATGCTTGTAAAAGTTCTACAGCTGTGTATTTGATTTAATTGCCACTTAAAGCCACAAAGAGTTATAGATCACATTCTTCAAGCACAAATTTGATTTAATCGTCATTACACACCTCATTTTAGTACCATATTATTTTCTTTGAGAATTCTTCTTTTCGATAAAGGGTCATTATCTGGTTCCACTAATCATGGGTGTTGGAGGGACAATTTGGATACAAACTTGAATCTTTGCCATTGTTTACACAAACAAAGCAACTATGCTCAAGATTTGAATATGTGTTCTCACGCTTGGGAGTAGAGTTTTTATGACCACTTCACCGAGCAGTGGCCCTAGAATTGTTTTTTTTCTTTCTAATATCAATCTTTAATGTGCAATAAACATAATTACGAAACTTGTTTGAGACCGGCTAGAAAAAGTTAGAACATACTGTTCTGGTGCGAAAACAAAATCCAAGGACCGTGTTTCATTCCTTCTAATTGTTTTCATAGCCAATTTCCTCCTATTTAATAGATGCACTAGAATTAAAGTGAATAATTAGAGAAAAGTTGAAGGAGGTAGACCAGAATTAATAAGGATTGAGATAGTAAAAAAAAGATATGATAACGTTTTGAGTTAACTAAAGTTATGGTCTTAAAAAGAGCAAAATGCTAAAATAAGAGTTATTTCCCAAATAGTTGGAATAAGGATTTTTTTTTTTTTTTTTTCCATCATAATTGATTGGAATAAGGTTTTGTTAAGTTGAATATTGATAAGTATTTATTTTGTCATATTGATGTCACTATGTAATACCATTAGCCTACGCAGTTAAACTCAAGTCTATTTTACAGGTCAGCTAACTATCAGAGTTTGAACATCTTTCCTAAATTTTACCCTGAGTACTGTAGTCAGGCAATATACCATGAAGTTGCTGAGCATCAAAACCATGAAACAGTCAAAGTGTACTAATGCTAAATAAATTATTGTTCATTTTTCATCTCATCTTAGGCAAAGATCTCTGAGTCTGCTAAGTGCAAGTTACCTGCTCTCGAGTAACTTCAAAGTACTCTTACAAAGTTTTGGTTTTGGCTTTATATATATATGTGTATATGTATGTATGTATGTGTGTGTGTATAAATATATATATGGAGTAGATATTGGGTGAGCCGGGCATACCATGTCATTGGTATGCCCAACCAATCAACATCCACCATTTTAATTTGGTGAGAGCAATTTTGTATGTAAGTGATTACCACTTTTTGTGAATGGAGTATGTTGATTGGGTGTGGATCCCAATTACTTAGTATATCTTGCTCACCAAATATTTTCTCATATATATATTGGGAAGAGGGCATTTCTTTTGACTCGCTTTCTGCTTAACTTTTGTATATTGTGAATAAGACTCTTTGAAGGGAGGGAAGAAAAATGAATATTTCAACAAGTGTCAGACCAACAAGTGTCAGACCAATTGCAGTTGTACTATTCTAGATCATAGTATCCCCTCCCTAATTATTTCGACAACTAAATGAATTTTTTACAATCTGACATTCAGGATTGAATTTTTTTTTTTTCGCTGTTGAATGAGTTTCCAATTCCTCCATATACGTTGTTCACTGCTGTGTTGTTATTCCATTCCTAACATTTTACGTTCGTTCCTTGTGGTTTAAGTAGAAACATCAGTTTTGAATCTGCCTGTACAGAGGATGGATTACTTCGTACCTAGGTGATATGGGGGACAAACACAGGATGCTTGATTTGTGAAAATGTAACTAATTATTTCCAGCACTGTCATATGGTGGTCTGTAATTTTCCCCGGACTATGCAATGCTCAAGTTATATGTAACTAACTCTTTTTTTTTTCTTTTTTCTTTTTTTCAAAAAGGGTACTGTGCAATGCTCAAGTCTATTAAGCTTTCTAAATCACTCTTGTAACGAGTTTTCAGCCAATGACTCCCAAACCAGATGGCTTTAGGGCATTAGGTGTTAAAACACTCCTACGGACCTAATTGCTCAAGTAATCTAGGTAACTTAAACTTCTTATGTAATGAACTTTTAGCTAATGACTCCCAAATCAGATGGTTTTAGGGCATTAGGTGTTGAAACATCCCTAAGGACTTAATTGTTCAAGCAATCTGGGTACAGACCCAAACCATTTTTCTCTCTTTTCATTTGTTTCTTTCACATTGGTAAAAAACTTTTTTTTTTTTTTTTTCATTGCATACACATCATATTATTTCTTTCATCATGTTTTTTTATACATTGGTTCTCAAAACCATCAAATTCACTTTTTTTATCTTAGTTTAACACAAATCAGAATAAGACTTCAAGTTTATATCCCACAAAATGCATGTAAGTGTGAACATGTATAAAGTGAAGTACTTTAGAGATCAAAATCATCAAATAATAATCATCTTGACAAAGTAGACCTATTTAGCATGAATTCGGCATACAAGCCATCTTAAACCAATATCAGACTGCATATGGATGTCACAACAATCAACAGACTTAAAATCATGCTTAAATAATTAAATTGCATCCTCTTATGCACAATATATGAACAACAAAATTTTAAAATTTTAAAAGGCATTGCCTTATCCCCAAACTTAAGATGCACATTGTCCTCAATGTGTGAAAATAGATGTAGAGTTAGAAAGATATTACCAAATATGCAGAACCAGCAAGGATTAAGAATTGATTGCTCAGAGGAATAAAATCGTCACTTCACCTCCGAACTTAGTCCTTAGTACTTGACAAAACAATCACACTCTACAAAACACATCAGAGTATCAAGTATATGGAGTAAAACAGATATATCATTATGTACAAGTCATTTAAGTTTTTTTATTTATTTATTTATTTTAATCAAAACAAAACAAAACAAACCTAATCTAAAAATAAAAGAAAAATACACAAAGAAACTAACCTATTTTTTTCTTTTTCTTTTTAAATCAAAACAAACCTAAACTAACCTAATCGAAAAATAAAAAGAAAAATACAAAAATGAACTAAAAACCTAGAAAAACTAAAAAGAATAAAAGAAAAGTAAATCAAATCAAACTAAAGTACAAACCTACAAGTGCTAAGTTTAACGTTGCTAGCTCGACAGTATGCTAAGTTTAATGTCGGTAGCTCGACTGTACACCACTCCTTAGCCTGTATCCAACAATTCAACTACATCCCTCATCCCAAAACCAGTCCTATGGATGATTATGAAATTCGAAACAGGAGGAACCAATGTGGTTCGATCAAGACCCATAATAGAATACTTAAGCTTATTCGGTGGTGGCTTAGGCTCAAGTTTGTGAGAGGACTCACAAGAAGGACAAGATGATGACTGAATCCTTATTAATGACATCAAAAAAGAAGCACTCATCTTTTTCTAAAAAATATGGAGTGGCATTGAAGATGTTTAATTTGAGCTTTATGTTCTCAAAAGAAATATCCATAGCCTCAGTCTTATAGTTAATGTTGGCATTTGTTGTAGCTAAAAATGGATGACCAAGGATCACAAGAATATATTTATTGGGATCATGGACAAGTTCTGTATCTAGGACAAGAAAATCAACCGGAAAATAAAACTTGTCCACTTTAATAAAAACATCTTCAATTATCCCACGTGGTTGCTTCAAAGATTAATCAGCAAGTTGCAATACTATTGACGTGGGTTTAAGCTCTCCTAAGCCTAATTGCTCATACACCAAGTAAGGAAGAAGATTAACTCTTGCTCCAAGATCAAGAAGTGCTCTATCTATCACATTGTTTCTAATGATGCAAGATATGGTAGGAGCACCAGGATCTTTGAACTTAGGAGGAGTGCTATGCTGAATGAGTGCACTGACTTGCTCAGTGAGATATATTTTCTTAGAGACTTAGCTTTTTGATTTTCTCTTTTGAGTGCACAAATCTTCTAGAAATTTAGCATTAGCAGGGATTTGATTGATAGTATCTTGGAGAGGAATACTGACTTTTACCTGTTTGAAGACATCTATCATGTCTTGAATTTTCTCTCCTTACTTACCAAAGTAAGATGGTCCCTTGAGACGTTCAGGAAAAGGTGCTTTTGGCTCATAAGCTGTCTCAAGGTTGGGAGTAGATGAAGAAGTGACTTCACCTTCAACTCCTTTAGAGCTTGATGGAGTATGATGTGAGGGACCATCTATGGGGTGTGGAATTGGAAGAATGGGATTGAAAGGAATCCTACGCCTCTCTTTTTCTACCTCTTTTTCCTCAACTTGATTATCAATGATCTTTCCACTCCTCAAAGTAATGATAGCATTAACTTGCTCATGATGAGAACTTGAAGGATTAGTCTCATCAATCATATAAGTTTGCCTGACTGGATTTGCAATTGGCTGACTAGGCAGTTTTTCTTTCCTTCTTTGAGTCAATACTTTAACTATTTGCTCAACTTGAGTTTCTATCTTGGCTATAGATTGGGAATGGGAATGTACCAATTGAGTGGTGGACTTAAAATCATCAATTGCAGCCAAAACCTTTTCTTCAAATTCAGACGAGTACTTAGGAGGAGGAGGATCAGGATTAGCTTAGTTCCTAAATTGAGGAGGACAGTAGATGGAAGATTGTTTGAAAGAATTATTTTGTAGAGGAATGGATGAATAATAGTACTGTCCCTTAGATTGGGGAACAATATTGCCTTGGCTTTGATTCTGGCATGATATTTTAGAATGATCTCTCCAGCCAGAGTTATAAGTATTGGAATTTAGATTATAACCTGAACTGGAGAATACAGCATTGGTTTGCACTTGTGGATTTTCAAAAGAGTGACCCAAGAAAGGATAACTATTAGCATAATGAGATGGATTAGCACAGATAGAACATACCTCATTTGGCAAAGAGGAGTGCTGAGAAGAACTAAGATTACTGACAGCTGATAAAACTTGGTCAAACTTTAGATTCAACACTTCCATTTGAGTGGTTATCTCTCTAGTTTTCTCGCCCTCATACCAACTTTCAACCTGATGGATACCAAGAGTGGACCTAGACCTAGAGGAAGAAACATGTTAACCAAAATTTTCACTTGGGGCCTCAAATAGTTCCCAAACGTCATACGGGCTCTTATGCATGAAACCACCGTTACTAGAAGCATCTACCATGTTCCTATGTGGATCATGTAATCCATCATAGAAGATTTGCACCAAATTCTATTTAGCAATATCATGGTGTGGACACTTTCTCAGAATATCATTGTATCTCTCCCAAGTATCATGAAGTTGTTCACCTAGGATTTGGGAGAACGCCATGATTTCTCTTCTCATTTGTGTGGTTTTACCCACAGTGTAGTATTTTTTTAAGAACTCTTGTTGTAACTTATCCCATGTGCTTATGAAATTATGAGGTAAGGAGTGCAACCAAGTTCTAGCTTTGTCCTTAAGAGAAAATTGGAAGAGTCTCATCCTAAAAGCATCATCAGAAAGAGTGGACAACTTGGTAGTTGAACACAATTCCAGAAATTCATCTATGTGCTTATAGGGATCTTTCGTAGCAAACCCATGGAAAGTTGGAAGCATCTGGATCATAACTGACTTGATCTCAAAGTGGGTTGCATCAGATTATGGAAATTGAAAGCAACAAGGTAATGTATATGAAGTGGGAATGAAGTGATCCCTCAATTGTGGTCCATTTGGATTATCACTATTATTAGCCATATCTGATTTAAAGAATTCTCCTAACAATTTAAGCTAATTTCAATGGTAACAAGTAGTAACAAAAAGAAAATTTTTAAGTGAAGAAAAGTAACAAAAACTCACAAAAGGTCCTGAAACCGAAGCTTCTATTCCTTAGGCATCTTCGTCCTCGCTGCCAGATTCCTACACTTGAAAAGAAAAAGAAATAAGGTGAGATAGTATAAATTCCTAAAACTATAAATTAAACTAGAACTAATCTCAAACTCAACAAAATCGTGACACAGTCTCCGGCAATGGCGCCAAAAATTGATGTGTCAATAATAAATTAACCACTCATAATATAACGAATCCTTGTAGGATAGGGCTATGTTGAGGGTTTCAAACCTCAAAGACTGTGGTAGTTTATTGAGTCTTCAATTAATACTATTTTAATTTAGAAAGAGATTTTGATTTTGTGTGTTGCAATAATATAAACAGAAAATAAATAAAGTAAAATAAAAGATCAAAGGTAGAGATACTTAGAGATTGACTTCACCACGATCCTCCTATTATGGTCAATTGTTCAACCTTGGGATTTCAACAGTTTATATATCATATGAATTAAACTTAATAACATTTATTTAATTCGGTTTTAAAGAAAAATGTTTCATTAAACTTAGCTAACTATAACCTATCAAAAGTTGGCACGAATTATCCACCTACCTACTTCTAACTAATGTTGCAGTATAACTTGTCTTCCCTAAGTATAGATTATGAAAGAGTTCATTCAAGAAAAACGTTTGAACACCATTACATGATATCTATTCTTATGTCCGGTAGGGCTCCGCCAGATACCGTTCAATAAGAATGGGTTGAGAATAATTTATGAGCAGTTATATCTAAGACAAGGTAATAACTATTCAAAAACTATTAATTCATTAAAACATCAATTGAGTAATTGCTCAAAATCATGTAATCAAAATATATAAACTATTAAATTCCCAAAGTATAAACAATCAACCCATAATAATCAGATCGGATTGCATCAATGCCCGCCACTCATGACGATGCTAGATATCATCTGTGTTGGTGTAGTCTTCATCGTCAAGGTCTGCATTTCTCGCTTGGGGATTTCCCCTCAAAACCTTAAAAGCCACCGTGAGAGAGAGATATGAGAGATCGGATGAGAGATGATTTTATGTGGCCTTCTCCTCTTCTTTTATAGTAGAGAACAAGTCCCGATCCCCTTTGGATTGGTTTTACGGCTTTTGGTAACAATTAGGCCCAAAAAGAAATAAAGAAATATGATTTTTGGTAATTCTCGCATGTATTTACGACTTCCAAGACGTTTAGGCTCGAGCTTTAGAGTCCCAGGCTCAAGCTTTGAGGTTCAGGCTCGAGCATTTGGGTTCAGGCTCGAGCATCACCTGCCAGCAAATTGTTCCGACTTTGTAATGCAATTTTGACCTATTTAGAGTGCGAATTTGGAGATGGCTATTAAACATCAGGCTTCAAGTCTTCTTTCCAGAGCCGTTGAGCTTGCTCAATTTGGAGTTCCGAGTCAAAAGTTATGGCCAAAATATTAAAGCGGGTTCAGAGTTTTCAGCCATGCTAGAGCCTGAAGTGTTGGTGCTCGATCCTTTTGATTCGTGCTTGAGCCTTAAAGCTCAGGCTCGAGCTTTGGGAGCAAAAATTATCCGAAACGTCTTTTTATTGATGGTGCTCGATCCTCTCTTCATGATGCTTGATCCCAAGGTGTTGGCCTCGAGCTTTGAGGCTGTAGGCTAGAGTTTTAGGTGTTAGTGCTCGATCCCTGAGGTATGGCACGAGGTCTGGGAGCTTGGAAATCAATTCCTTCAAATTCCGACGCCTTGTGCTCGAGCTTAAGGGTCAAGGCTCGAGCACCCTATGGTCAAGCTCGAGAACCCTTTATTCAGGCTCGAGCCTGAAGGTGCAAGGCTCGAGTCTCAAGACTTGGGCTCGAGCATTGGATTATAACTTCTTCCAAACTTCACCATTTAAGCTCTCTGCTTGCTTTGAATGACCAACAATGACACGGTAAACTTCATTATCATTCTTTTCATCATAAAAGCCCGGTTGTAACTGTTTCTTTGGGAAAACACCTAAAAACATGAAATAAACATAAATCAGTATAAAACATGATATATATATCACTTTAGGTCTTAACATATGCGTATTTAGGGGCTCGAATATACAATATTCAACGCTCATCATAAATGTCAAGGGAAAGGGTCCAAAATGATGGTGGTAGGTCTAGGGTTTCAAGGTTCATCAATGGTGGGATAAAGGGAAAGTGAGGAAGAAAGGAAAAGTGTTAGAGATAAAAGAGAAATAGTGTATTTCTTCACTCACTATGTGCACTAACACTACCTCTCATAAACATATAACTCATCCACACCCTCCACTTGTCAACCAACCAAGCCTTCTCACAAGATCACATCATGTGCTTACACTTGTCATCATCTAAAGTCTCCTTCCAAGGCTTAATCTAAGCCTTACACTTGTCAACAATCTAAGCCAACCAGTTTACCAATCCTAAACCAACAAGTGGGTGAATCTTCATCCTCCACATGTCATCATCTAAGACTTTCAAAAGTTACCAATGGAATGATGACAAGTAGACCAATAGGAATGTGACACTTGTCACACGTTTAAAAAATTATAAAAAAGGTCCTTCCTCCAAATATCTTGCAAATTAAATTGTAAAATGGTCCCTAATATGAAAAATAATTACAAAATTTAATTACACAAAAACCCCAAAAAGAAAGAATATTTTTAAAGAAATTATGCATCCATGCCCTTTACGAAAAAGTAAATAAGTAGCATGTTTTTTTCAAAAAAGTAAAAGTACGCATTTCATAGAAATCAAATTTTATGGATGCATGCAAAGCTGGGATCAAATCCTAGCATAAAAAGTGAGGTTACGTGACGAGCCCTTTCCTATGTGTTTAGAAAACGGACTTTTTAATGCGAGAGGTCGCTTCGCAATGTCAAAATATGAATGTGGTTTCGGAAACCTTTCTAGTCAAATTTACAATTATAAAAACCACTGCTACAACTAATGAAGTATAGCGAGTAAGGATCGTCCACAGAGATTATACGTGTTGGAATTTAACTTCAACTCTAGCGTATCAAAAGATTGCAAAGGAGGGTTTGGTTGATTAATTACTCTAGAAAACAATTAAATTGAAATGTAATTAAAGTAAATTAGTAAGAGATAGGGATTTAAGAGATATGAAGAGAGGTCTTAGGGTGTTGGAATCACCACTAAGCTCCTGTAATTAACCACTTGCTTTCCATTAATAGGGAATACATTGTTGCAATCAAGATGTGGCCACAAACATAAACATAATTTACATGTAAAAGTGTGAACTATCTAACGCAAGAGTGAATTGTCTACCAAACCAACAAGTAAACTAAGTGTAGAACAACCCACCAAGACAAAGACGTAATTCATCAATTAGTCAACAAATGTATCTAATGAGAGCACACATCAATTTAGAGAATCATAGAATTTGCAATAATAAGTGTGGAGTATCAAACCAAGTATAGATTGTCTATCTACCTACAAGCATGAATTAAATTGTAGAACAACCCATCAAGTGTAAGCATAATCCATCAAATTAATTTACAAACCTATTCAATGAAAACCATACTTAGCCATCACTAAATCCTTAATTAATCACATAGACATGCAACAAACATAGAGAATCTAGTGTAGAGATCAATTCCCAAATAATCACACATAAGACAACATGTAATTAAAATAGAGAATCACTAGGTAGAATTGAATCAACATTCACAAGGCTAACCACTAATCACAACAATATATATAAATCCCCAAAAATAAAAATAAAAGGGTTTAAATTACACAAGACATAGGGCTCATCCAACCCCTAAGTGTAGATTTAGCCAATCATGGAGGAGATGGATGTGGTCATGAAACCCTCAAGGGTAAGCTCCAAACATGGCTCCATCTTCTTCTTCCTCTTCTTCTTCTTCTTTTTTGAAGCTTTAGAGATAGAGAGTACGTGGATCTAGAGATGTGTTCTTGAGATGTGCCTCCACTTCCCTCTTTTCTTCTAACCCTAATCTCTAACTTTCTAGAGAGAGAAACTACAACAATATAGAATTTACAATGTAAAAATATGAATCTCCTTACAAAAATTGTTCAATCCCTCTTATATACAAGGCTTTTAGAGCCCAAAAATATGAGAACTCGGCCCTAGGATCTCCCCTTTCAAACATACCCCAAGTTGCTTTCAAATGAGCTTTAGATCTGTTTTTTTATAACTTCTGTGAACAGCTCAATTGATCTAACCAATAATGTGATTGATCAGAGGTATGGTGTGATCGATTAGGGTTCGATCGATCCAACTTTGCTTCAATCGATCCAACTTAGCAGTTTTCAGCATTAGCCTCCTTTTACTCCAAATTCTCACCAAGACTTAGTTTGACTCCAAAAAGGCCTTAATGGACCAAAATTAGCCCATTTGAACCTTATTCACCTAAAAATAGACAAAAACATAAATTAGTACTAAAATAGGAAAATAAGATAGATAAAGGTCCTAGAATATTCAAGATTAAGAGGTTTAAATGCGCACTTTTTAGCGCTTATCATTAAGCGAAGGAAATCGATAAACGAGAAAAGGATGAAAAAGGAAGATGTCGAAAAAGGAAAATGTGAAAATGACTCAGTCCTCACAAGGATGGTATCAATCCAAAACAAAGAGTCTTGGGAACTATTCCCGAGTACTCGAGACAACCCAAAGGAATAGAAACTTGAACTTGGAAAAGAAAGAAAAAAAAATTCACTAGAACAAGAAAATCCATAAAAATGAAAAAAGGAAGGGAATGAAAATGACCGGGTCATTATAACCCACTCTCCTTAAATAGATTTCATCCCCAAAATCAGGAACACCCTGAGGAGAACTGAACAAGGGCCGAAAATAAGGTCACATCATGGGACTGATCATGAAGTGCTAAAGGATAACTCTAAAAGCCTCAAGATTAGATGAAGGAATGCAAAACCACGAACTGTGGGACACCTCTCCGAATGAATCGAAATGCCAACCCCAAGGTCACTTACCAAAAGGAATCCCCGAGACAACGACACGTGGAACAGAGACACCTAACTTAAAACGACATGACTGACAGAAAGAGTAGTAACATTGGGCAAAATGCCTTTCTCCATCATTTCGGAGAAAAGGACCAAAGCATCATCTACCATTTTGTCCTTGCAAAGACTATCGATTATGATGCTATACATTACTAAATTAGCCCTAAAAATCTTTGTTTTCTCCATAGCCCTAAGTAGCCCAATGGCCATGCTAGTATTTCCTATTTTGCAAAGACCATTTATCATTGTTCCATACATAATTTCATCAGGCTCAATCTCATTCCCCCTCAACAGCTTGTTAAACAACTCCATTGCCTCGGCAAATTTATCTTTTAAGAAAAGCCCTTTTATCAGAGTGGTGAATGTAGTCACATTTGGTACATGACCACGTTTGAATAGGTCCCCTAAAGTAGCAAACCCAAAGTCCACTCGATTTAGGTGGCAATAACAGTTGATTACGATGGTCATGGTGTAATCATCAATAGATATACACAACACACGCATTTCTTTATAGAGAGAAACAACAATTGAGTAATGTTTCATTATGGTAATAAAACCTAGCAACTGATTAAATTCAATAATAAAAGGCAGAGGTCGCGTTCGGACCATCCGATTGAATGAATTTAGAGCATCTTTGAGCTTATTATGATTAACATTATAAGTCTTTGAAAACCCAATTCTTGGTTTCTCAGAAAGTGATTTGCGAATTGAAGTGGCAAAATGAGAGTGAAATGAAAGTATATTATGAACATCTGATAATGGGGTAGGGTTTAGAGAGAGAATAATAGTAGCAGTAGGAAGACGAGTACCTTTTGGGAAGTATATTCTCTTCATCGTCGACTGGTTTGTCTCTTTCTCTCTCTCGCTCACTCTCAGAGAAAGTCGAAACCCAATTTTAGTAATGAGAGAACAAAGCTACGTGTCGTGTTTATATATTTCTCGCTCCGATTATACTGTATATCGAATATGGATCATGGGTTCAAGATCCAACTCTTATCGGGTCTCTTTTTATTTTATTTATTTATTTAATTTTCTTTCAAAAACACACTTCGCATTACTACGCGCATTCCATTCATAGGCTTCTTCTAGACTTTTAGTATGATTTTGGCCCTTGTATGCATATTTAATGTTAAAAACTCGAGCTCCTCAGTGACATGTAATTTCTCCATGAAATTTTATTTAAATTTTAGCAATCCTACGGGGCACTTCAATATGATAAACTTCACAATTGACTGATGACATGCAATATGAATTATGGTTGCAATCTATTGCTCCTTTTTTTTGGCACAAGGCCATTGTCTCTCAACCCTCAATCCATATACATAAATATATATATAGATATAGATACATTTAAAGCATTAAGGAAATATGTATAAGAGAAATGATACATAGGTGATTGAAAAAAAAAAACTTCAGGCCACAAAAATTAGAAGTTGATGAAATAGCATTTGGTTCAGGCTTGACAAGGGAAATGGGCGTGACGCGAAGTGTTCTGGATTCGAGGAATTGCATGGCAGTTCCAACATCTTTTCCATGATCTTAGCAACTGTTGGAAACAGCATTAAAAAACGCAAACTTTGGAAGGATTTTTAAAAAGATTCCGCTAAGAATTTTTGCGAATCTATTGACGAGCGCGTTCCTCTCTGCGAGGAGATGAACGTGGTATATTTATTTTCTCAAATCCGTTTCCGGGTGAATGAGAAATTGGCTCCAAAGTAAATGATTTATAAAGCCTAAATGGGTGTGAATAAAGTGGGAAATGCTTGTCCCACATCGAAAAAGTAGCAAAGCAACCTTGAGTATATATATGTCTAGTATGGGATTTGGGTTTGGGACCAAGGGCACCCAAGTTTTTAAGAGGGGGAGGACCTAGGCTAGCCTGAATCCGAACCAACTACCGCCCGCCCGGTCCGGTCCGGGCTAGGGCGGGGCTTGATTGTGAAATGGGTTTAACTTTTTACCCAAAGTTGGGATGGGCCTGTGTGGTTGTAATTTTATTTTGTTACTGGACTTATCAAAATGGGCCTGTTTACTGGGCTGAATTAATGGCCGAGTTGGATTATTTGCTTGCTGGACTGGACGAAATTAAAGGGTTGGGCTGGATCAGAATTAAAAGGATTCAGTTTTAATTTTGAACCAAGAGTTGCACCCTTTACAAATTAAAAACCACCAACAGATTTTTAATTTTGATTAGTCAACAATGGTTGCACCCATTCGGACTATGGGTGCACCCATTCAGAATAGGCACCAACAAGCCTATAAATACCCATCATTGGGTTCATTTCAATTCACACCAATTCAGAAATCTTCTTCTCTTCTTCTGAATTTCTTCTTCTAATTCTTCTTTGTTCGGTTCAGCCACTGGTTTGGGTTTAACCTAAACTGGTTTGGATTGGGTTTGAACCTTGGTTTCCAAGTTTCGGTTCAATCTTGGTCTCCGAGTTAGGGTTCAATCCTGGTCTCCGAGTCTGAGTTCAACAGAGAGTACTACACCGAGCCGGTTCGCCTATTCCATTGGTTTGAAGTGCTGCTAACAAAGGAAGAAAAGTCGTTGTATCCTGGGAGATAGACGCCGAAGAGTCCGTTAGCACCGTAGCGGGGCGTATCTCTCTTAAGGCTATAGAATTAAATTCTAGCCTCGACTTTATCAGGTTCTTTTATAGTTTTATTTTCTTGATATTAAACTATTTAAATATATATATAGATTATTATAATAAATATTATATTTACAAATAATATATAAATAAATTATACTATAGTATATGATACATTATTTTATCAACAATCTTAAGACAGATACGTTTATACTATAGTAATAATTATTTAATTATTATTCTTGTTATAATTATTATAATTTGACTCGTGGTCAGTATATCAATATATAATAGACAAATGGCAAGTACGAGTATTACCGTGCCTAATGTTCCCGTCAGTCATGGGGAGAAGCCCGAAAAATTCAACGGGACAGAGTTTAAAAGGTGGCAACAGAAAATGATGTTCTACCTTACAACTCTAAATCTAAGCAAGTATCTGACTGAGACTGCTCCAGTGTTAGATGAGGGTGATACAGACATTACCAAGCTTGGAGCTGTTGATACATGGAAGCATGGAGACTTCCTATGCAAGAACTACATCCTCAATGGATTGGACAACACCTTATGTAATGTGTACAGTCCAATAAATACTGCTAAAGAGCTTTGGGAGTCGTTAGACAAAAAGTATAAAACAGAGGATGCTGGATTGAAGAAATTCGTGGTTGGACGATTTCTGGACTTCAAAATGATAGACTCCAAGACAGTCGTGAGCCAAGTGCAGGAGCTCCAGCTGATCCTACATGAGATACATGCTGAGAAGATGACATTGAGTGAATCCTTTCAAGTAGCTTCAATCATTGAAAAGCTGCCACCTACTTGGAAAGATTTCAAAAATTACTTGAAGCATAAGCGCAAGGAAATGGGGCTCGAAGACTTAATTGTCAGGCTGAGAATTGAAGAAGATAACCGTACATCTGAAAAGAGAGCCGGAAATTCTTCAATGGTGTCAAAGGCAAATGTAGTGGAAGCAGGACAGAAAAATAAGAAGAGGAAGCACTCTGGAGAAGGTCCTAGCCAAGGAAACTACAAGAAGTTCACTGGGAAGTGTTTCATATGCGGCAAGCTAGGACACCGAGCTAAAGATTGTCGTAGCCGCAAAACACATCATAACCCCAAGAAGAAGACCACTGAGGTGCACATAGCTGAAGAAGATAAGTTGACAGCTGATGTATCAGAGTTAAATCTTTCAGCTGTGGTTTCTGAAATCAACCTGGTAAGCAACAACAGAGAATGGTGGGTGGACACAGGAGCTACTCGTCATGTTTGCTCTGAAAAGAGGATGTTCACTACCTATGAAACTATAAATAATGAAGAACAACTCTACATGGGGAATTCTTCTACTGCAAAGGTTGAAGGAAAAGGAAAGATCAAGCTACTAATGACCTCAGGGAAAGAGCTCACTCTTAATAATGTGCTGCATGTACCAGACATCAGGAAGAACTTGGTCTCTGGGTCACTACTAAGCAAGAATGGGTTCAAGCTGGTCTTTGTATCTGATAAGTTTGTGCTGAATAAGAATGGGGTGTATGTGGGCGAAGGGTATCTAAGTAATTGACTATTTAAGTTCAATGTAATGACTGTTGTACCCAAAGCTATTAATGATAATAATAAAGCTAGTGCTTCTTCTGCTTATATTATTGACTCATCTGATGTATGGCATGGTAGGTTAGGACATGTTAATTATGATACTATTCGTAGATTAATTAACATGGAATCTATACCTAAATTTAATATTGATTTAAATCAAAAATGCCAAACATGTGTAGAAGCAAAATTGACTAGAACCTCATTTCACTCCATAGAGCGAAGTACTGAACCTCTAGCATTAATTCACAGTGATATCTGTGACTTTAAATCTGTGCCAACAGAGGTGGGAAAAAGTATTTCGATACTTTTATTGATGACTGCACAAGATATTGTTATGTATACTTGTTAAGAAGTAAAGATGAAGCCTTGGAAATGTTTAAACATTACAAGAATGAGGTTGAGAATCAACTTGGAAAAAAGATAAAGATGTTTAGAAGTGATAGAGGTGGTGAATACGAAATACCATTCGCTGACATTTGTTCAGAACATGGTACTATTCACCAAACTACCGCTCCTTATTCACCTCAACAGAACGGTGTTGCTGAACGCAAAAACCGTACCTTAAAAGAAATGATGAATGCTATGTTGATAAGTTCTGGTTTAACCCAGAATTTGTGGAGGGAAGCTTTGCTCTCTGCTAATTATGTTTTCAACAAGGTACCTCAAAAGAAATCAAATGTGACACCTTATGAATTATAGAAAGGTCAAAAACCTTCCTATAAATTCTTAAAAGTGTGGGGGTGTTTAGCTAAGGTTGCGGTTCCTACTCCTAAGAAAGTTAAGATAGAACCAAAAACATTTGATGGTATTTTCATAGGCTATGCACAGAATAGTAGTGCATATCGTTTTCTTGTGCATAAATCAGACATTCCTGATATCCATGTCAATACAATTATTGAGTCAAGGAATGCTTATTTCTTTGAGGATATATTTCCATGCAAAAATCCTCTTAAAAGAAATTATGATACTGCTAATAGCAATACACAAGAGAATATAGACCAAGAGTCTATAGATGATGAAAATGAGGAAGAACCTAGACATAGCAAAAGAGCTAGAACGTCTAAGTCATTCGGTCCTGACTTTCTGACATATATATTGGAGAATGAGCCACAAAGCTACAAGGAAGCTATGTCTTCTCCTGAAGCTAATTTATGGAAAGAAGCCATAAATAGTGAAATTGAATCCATCATGCAAAATCATACTTGGGAGCTGGTGGATCTTCCTCCTGGTACAAAACCTTTAGGGTATAAGTGGATTTTCAAGAGGAAGATGAAGCCTGATGGTTCAATTGAAAAATATAAAGCCCGACTTGTTACTAAGGGATATAGGCAAAAAGAAGGCTTGGATTATTTTGATACATATTCACCAGTCACAAGAATAACATCCATTAGACTGTTACTAGCTATTGCAGCACTGCAAAACTTAGAAATACATCAAATGGATGTTAAGATTGCCTTCTTAAATGGTGAATTATAGGAGGAAATCTATATGGAACAACCTGAAGGGTTTATAGTTCCAGGAAAAGAAAAGAAGGTGTGCAAACTTGTAAAATCCTTATATGGATTAAAACAAGCACCTAAACAATGGCATGAAAAATTTGACAAAGTGATGTTGTCAAATGGTTTTAAAATTAATGAGGGTGATAAATGTGTG